ATGGCACTTGCTGGGTGCGAATAAGCATGTTAAATGAATGGACTAGAGGAGAATAGACTGGAGGTTGAATTATCAGTTAGGTTCTTGTAATCATTGAAGAAGAGGACAGATGTAATCCATACTACAGAGGTGAAAATGACTGTCTTTGATAGTTGGATTTGGGCACATGGGAAAGAGAGAGTTAAGACTGGCTTTGACTTTGCTGTACAAGGAAGATAAGTGATACTGGGAACAAGGTGTATGCAGAGGAATAGGTGGTTTGGGGAGAATGGGAATAGGGAAAGATTCCCAATTCTGTTTTGGATTATGTTGTATTTGAAGTGCTGGTAGGATATCTAGTAAAAGGATTATCAGGTCTAGAGCATTTATGAGCCCTCTTTTGAGGAGGGTACCATGTTCATAAGCCCGACTTCATCAGTTGTTTTATGCAGATATGTACTCATTTCAGTTTGATAGTTTCCTTACATTCCTTAAAATCATGGGGAGGTAACTTAGTACCCTATGCAAGAGCTGTACCACAGAGAAAAAGAGAAGGGGAAAATGCTTGAAGTGGTTAGAGGTGAAGTGATATGATTTATGTACTTTCAGCTGGGCAGACTTTATTCCCCATCTTCATTAATTGGGGTATGGATGGAGAAGACATTTTATTTTATTTATTTTTTTGAACAAAGTGAGGGCACATTTATTGAGAGACAAAATGAGATCTGCACAAAAGAAAAGTCATCCCATGTTCTCAGATGGGAAGAAATTATGTTACAATATGTAATTATCTCTAAATTAATATATACATTTAGTACAATTAACCTAATCTCGAATGCTTTCTAAATCTACTTATTGAAAACTTTAGAAGTACTTCATAAGGTAAGAAGGTAATTAGAAAGTGTCAGGACAACAACCTAAAATAGAAAGTTTTATTTTCTAGTTATTATTGAGTTACTTACAAAGTTACCCAGACATTCTCATATCTTGAACTTCTGCTCAGTTCTTGAACTTTCTGGTGACTGTGGTGAGACTGCAATACATCATAAGTTATTTGGCTCACCATATATTATTTTGTATTGGAGAAAGACATTTTAAAGGATAGACTACTTAGAAATCATTCAGTAACGGGACAATATGCGTATACACAAACTGCTTATAATTGATAAATAATAAGTCATGTAACCAGAGGTGACGTAGTTTATTGACTGCTCTTCTGACTGAGGCTTTTTTACGTTGCTAAAACCTTCTCAGGTTACTTTTTTATTGTCCTACTGAGTCTGAATTATAAGGGATTCACTGATTCCTTCCCCAGCGCTATTTTGAGCTATACATTCTGGGGAGCAGTCCCGCTCAGAGAGTTTATTAGTCCGGGACACGATGGTCTCCTTCCCTTCCTTTCCCCTCACTCCTCCGCAGTGAGGGAAGTCCCCCTTCATCCAGCGTCCCCACCTGTCCTACGCAGGCTGGAGCTGGATACATCCCCATTAGCGGGCGCTTTTCCCACCCACCACCCGGCGGGGCACGTGCCCCGGGGACCGTTGGAGCGAACCCCAACCGTCCCTTTTGTCCAGTAAGGAGCGCGCAGGGAGGGTCGGGCTGGCGCGCGGGAGCTGGGGGCGCGAGCCGGGCTGGCTGGCGCAGGGGAGGTGGGGCGCCCGGGGGAGGTCCGGCCGGGACGCGGGACCAGCCTCCAGTCCGGCGGGAGGAGCAGCGGCCCGAGGGACGCGACAACCGACCGTTGGAGTTGGGGATGAGGGGCTCTCCGGTTTGCGTTTCTGGAAAGCAACTGAAATCAGTGAAGTAGAAAAAGCAAGTTGCAAAACCGATAAGTATAGTAAGATCCCATTTATGTAGAAAGATTCACAGCGCCAAATTATCTATGTGTACGTATGTAAATGCACTAGAAGGGAGGGAGCTTACTTTGTACGTTGTACATTTCTGAGCTACTTAACATTATTATTATTTAGCATGAAAATGTGATCATATAACTGAAAAAAATTCTGCATTTGGGAAGCTTGGCTATCCTTTTGCTTCCCATAGGTAGGGACCTGCTCAGACTCAGAGCACCGGCAAGAGATGAGTCAGGAAAATCTTCTTCCCACTTGCCCTTCTCTCTGCCTCACTACTCTATCTGTTTCCCTCTCACCTTCTTATTCGAAGTCTTTCCAAGTGGCCTTTGCCCTTTGCCGAGGAGTCCTCACAGCCTTTCTCATTATTATAAATCTACCTTCCAAACCCACTCTCAAAGAGGAAACATTTTGAAAACAGGTAATTACTCACAGGCACCTGAACATTTCAACTAGCCAATTCCTAAAACATATTTGATACAAATTAAGATAAAATGTTTATAGAATATATCTTTTTTCTCCTAAACAGGTGTACCATAGTTTTTCTATTTGTATGAGCACATAATGTTAATTTTTTTATTTTAAGTTTTCATTTTGAACTAACTTGACTTAGAAAAAGTTACAAAAATGGTACAAAGAATCCCATTGTATCCTTCACCCAACTTCCCTAAATATTAACACTTAACCATAATAAATGATTATATACAGGAAATTAGCATTACTATTACTCTATTAACTAATCTACAGATATTATTCACATTTCTACAATTATTCAACACATGTCCTTTTGTTTTTTTCTGGTCTAGGTTTCAATCCAGGATCTCATAATGCATTCAGTTGTCATGTCTACTTAGTTTCTTCTGATCTGTGACAGTTTCTCAGTCTTTCTTCATGACTGACCCTTTCGAAGAGTACTACTGGCCAATTATTTTGTGGATGTCCTTCAATTTGGGTTTGTTTAGTATTTTCATTATTCAAGTTATAATTTTTTTTTGGCAAAAATATTACAGAGGTAATATTGTACCCTTCCCAGTACATTATATCAAGAGGCACATGATGTCCGCGTGTCATTAATGGTGACCTTAATCGATTACTTTGTTAAGGTGGTGTCTGCCAGGTTTGTCCAACGAAAAGCCGTAATTTTTCTTTTTGTATTTAATCATAGGAGGCAAACATCCTCATCATATGCACACCAATTTTAGCATTCATGGTTCCTGACCTAGACAGAATGTGGTGTTTGCCAAATGGTGAGTTTTCTGTTGACATTATTCTGATGTTAAATTTTAATCTGAATATTTAAATGCACAATAACTTTTAAAAGGAAGATTTTGACTAATATTTTTCTACTTTACACTAGGGGGGAAAAGGCATTTGGAGGCTGTGTGATATGCCATGGAATTAGTGGCTAAAATAGAATTGTTGAATGTATTACTTATAGATAACTGAATTCTAAATGAATAATTCACTATTCTTAGTACTTGTAAGGAAGGTGGGATCTGAAATCCCAATTTACATGAATTTACAAGCTCATTAATTGAATTGGTTTTTATTACTCCCATGTTTGTACCCATTCTTATAAATGGGTGAACATAAAATGGTATTTTAAAAAGAACTAAGATTAGAAGTTTTTAATTTTATTTCAATGTATTGCTATTTTTAGTTGGTATTGAAAACTAATCCTTTAAATCAACAATACTTCTGACTCTCATCCAACGATATTTCACTTTACTTAGCCTCAATGTTTGCTGAAAGGATTTACTGGAAGTTGGAATGAGTATCCTTTGAATGCACTGCAAGGAAAGTGGAATTCTTGTGGGTGAAACTTAGAGATCTTTTAATCCGAAGGTTATTTGACTAGCAAGCATTTTGATAAATCTCATTTGAAGATTAAGTTACCCCATGCAGCATTTCCTCGAACCCTTTATCATGTAAATGGAGAACTGGCCTAAGATTGGATCTTAGCCTTGAGGCCATTTTTATTTCAGTATGAAGAAAAGCAGGAGAAATGGGTTTAGATTTTAAAAATCACTGATCCTTTGGACTATCTGATCTCTATTAACCCTTCCCCCTCCCCAAATGCAGAAACCCACATGTTGCATTAGAGAGAACGCAATCCAATGTCAATTGTGGGGGCGGGGAGAGGAGGGAGGAGGTAATGAGGGGGGAAAAGCAGGCTGCTAGACTGTCAGAGGTTTCCCAGAGTTTCCCCCCATGCCATACGGCACAGCTCTCCTCTCCTGGCAGCTCAGGTGTGCACAGCCCAACTGGCTCATTTTCCTCCAAACCCCTCCCTCAGCCCCCAATAGCATCGTCTCCCTTATCACTTAGCCCCCAGTGTGCTCAGCTTTCTTGCTGGGTCTTCTTCACTCCCTATCAGGTCCTCCCCGTCACCGGCCATTTCACCAACTTTCACTAACCATTGTTAGGGGAGAAAGCTCAGAAGCTGAAGTGAGAGAACCTGACCACTGCCAAATGGTTAGAGCAAAGAAGAATTTCTTGAATAAATATTCAATGATTCCCCCCCTTTCTCATTAGCATAGAAATCTTGCCACGTTTTCTTGTCCGTTTGAAGATGGAGGAAGAGCTGATGACACGTTGCGGGAACACGCCTAGACTCAGTAGCTTAAGCAAAGGGTGATTAGCGTCAAAGGAGAGGCGGCCGGAGAGCTATGCACCCCTCCGATCCCTCAGAAGCAGAGGCAGGATGATGGGGTTGGAGAATGAGAAGTGGGGGCCGAGGAAAAGGGAGCAGGGTTCGTTATTACAGAACATTTTTGTTTCTAAAATGGAAAGAACGTGAATTCCCGGAACCCGCTTCTTCGCCCGCCAACGGCCTTGCCTCCTGCAGCTGTCCAGCCCTCCGCTCCTGGCCCAGCTCAGGCCCGCCACCGCTCGCGGCAAAGCTTGGCGCTCCTGTGCGCGCCTCCGCGGACAAAGAGCTGGAGGTTGCGGGGCGCGGCCGCCGGCCGGGAGGGGGGGGCGGAGAGAGAGAAAGAGAGAGCGAGAGAGAGAGGGCCCAGGCGCGCGCAGGGGGAAGCCCTCCCGGGCTCTGACGTCACCGCAGCGCCGGCCAATGAGAAGCCGGAGAGGGGGATTCCCGCTCTGGCTGCCGCCCCGCCGGCTTTTTAAACCGTACCCTGGGGAAAGCTCGCTGAGAGCGGTGGGAGGAGTGGGGAAAAATGGGAGGTTAGGGGTGAAATATGATCATCCTGGGGAACAAGACTCCAGAGGTTTGATGATTAAGCGTCAAGACTGGCTTAGACCTGGGGGGGCAAAACCAAAAGTGGTCGAGGAGAGGCTACTCTCCAGCCAGGTAGGGCAAACTCCTCCAGAGATGGAGTGGAAACTTGAGCGCACCGCCCGGAGGAGGGTCCGGACCGGAGAAGAGATCCTATGGGTGAGTAACGCCCTTTTGTTTCCTCGCCCCAACTCCCTAAAGGGACTTCTTGTCGAAGGCACCGTTTATAATACCTGTTTAGGACCAAGAGGTAGTTCAAAACTCTAAATCCTGATTTTAATTTTGAGTTGTGTAATTTAGTTATATTCTGGCGGTGCCTGTTTTCTTTCAAAGAAAAGTGAATGTAGTTTGACTAAGTAAGGATCTAGAAACATTCCACGCCTAATATTATGATTTTCCTAAACAGTTTATATTCATATATGTTGTCTGTATTTTCAAAGGAGGAGGTCATGCGGGTGCTCGCCAAAGACATGAAACAGAAGAGAGGTCAAGATTCTCCCAAGGTGAGTGTCCAGTGCTTACTCCAGTTCTCTGTCTTGAATATGACCTCGAACAAACTAATTCTTGCTAAAGATATTTGCTGGAAGTATGAATTGGTCTGAAAATACGAAAAATTAAAAAAATCTCATACTATCACTAACTACAGTCTATATATTAAAGAGTATATATTAAAACATTTTTGTAAGAAACTGAAGATCTCTGACTGGCAAATAATGGTAATCATTTTAATCTGAATGTTACGTTCTAGTTCTTGCCTCTACAGCAAAAGATGAAGCTTGGGTGTGTCAGGTAGGCAGTGCATCTTTAGCTGGCTGTTATAATTTCATTTTAACAGTTGCTAGTTGCAACTCCCCTCTGTTGCGTTCATAAGCTTGCCCCCCAAAGAAACGGAAATGGTGCTATCTTGTGGTCAAGAGGAGAAGTGGCATAATCTACGGCCCTTAGGTTAGTAATTTAACAGTTGATCCCATGTAGTACTTTTTCACCTTGAAAGTCCGAACCCAAAGGCCTTTAGCGTCTCTTGTAATCAGTGTAAATCATTATCAGGATTCACCTTGCTTCTCTCTAGGCTAAATAGTTCACATTCCTTTAGTTTTTACTTATAGATTTTAGTTTCAAAACCATCACCAGTTTTATAGATTTTTTTCTAGACCTTCTTTAAATTTTTCTGTATTTAATTGGTGACACAATAAATTGAACACATAACTTTCAGAATGCAATGACTAATAGCCTTTGTAGCCAGAGAAAACAAATGACATTTGACTCCTAAAATTCCCTAAATACTTTAATATTTATTTTTCCCAAACAAAGCTGAAGATTTGTCTTGCCTACCTTTTGTATCACCATGGCTCCTAGATATTTGACTACCTGATACAGACAACTGGTCTTTTTGTCAGTAAATAGAAACAATGGGAAAAGCTACAGTTATGTATAACTTTGTTAATTCACTTGTATAGCAGTATCCGAGCCTTTAATTTGTAAAACCTAAGTGGAAGTATTTTGAAAGTTTTCTTTTTAAGTTTTTGAATAGATTAAAGAAAATATTGGTTTTATTTCTTATAGTATTTTTGGAGGAACAGGTTTTGCCAGTAAGTTTTCTTTAATGTGACTATTAAGATGAAAGTTCTGCCACTGTTTCATGTTACAAATTTAGCCTCAGTGAATTTATGGGCCATGAAAAGCAGCAGTGACCTGAATCAGGTAGGCAGTGTATTGTTAGCTGGCTGCTTTGGGTCAATTCAGCAGCCACAACTACCCTGCCACTTGCTTCTGGATAAATTCTTCTTGTTAACTAAGTACACTGGTTACCTGTGTGTGATGGGTTGGCAGTGTATTGTTAGCTGGTTGAATATGTGAATGGCATCAGCTAACATGCAACTGCTATCTCATTGCATGTACAATGAACATCAGAGTATAATTAAATCTGTAAGTAATATGTGTGTATGTTTGTGTGTATGTGTACTTTTTGCCATGAACCGGGTCACTCTTTACCATAATGTTTATTACTACTTTTCAGTTATAATACAACAAACAGCTTTATAATGCTGAAGAAACTACTCCAATTAATTATTTTAAAAATTTCAGGTAATATTCTGGAGTCCCTAATACTTGTAGACAGTATTAAAGTATTTGTGAAATTATATATTTATTTTAAATATAAAATTTAGAATATAATGACAATTTGGAATGGAAAACCTAAAATGTTTCCTCAAATTTTCAACTTTCAACTAAGTCTTTAGAATTCTTTCTGGATCATTAGTTTCTTAATTTGACATTAGAGTAGGTCTCAGTTACCATGTGTGTGTACAGCTAAAGGGAGAACTGAAGTAACTTTCCAGATGAGTCAGTCAACTAAAACATTTTCACTTGAATATCAAGAGAATTGGGGATTTTGGGGGTTAGGAGATGGGGCTAAATTGTTTGGGAGATTTGCCTTGAGTCTTCATTTTCTGTAAAATCACAGACTCATACAGTGTTTGGAAGAGAGCATGATATTTAGTTTGTGAAGGGGGACAACTGACCGCACAATATAATTTAAAATATTTTCTCATTCCCTTGGAGGCCATTTTGACTCATGGAGCCGTGTCAGGTGTGTGTTGGGTCCCAGACACACTGTGGTTGTATAAACATTTGCAGCAAGTTCATGGAACTGACTTTGGTGGTCTGGTCAATTATTTACACCCTAAATGAGAAGTGAGAAATGTATCACATTCTCTACTGCATTGGACTATAAGTTATGGGTAAAATTAAATTCTTACCTTATTTAAATGTAAACATTTCTAGAACCATGGGTTAAAGAGATACGTATAATTTGATTCTTATGCATTTTGCTACTTTCACATCTCATCCTCTTTTTTTGTTGCCTAGTATCATTCCATTTTCAGCATCTTTGTGTTTAAGTATTCCTTTAATGTAAATATTGTTTTCATCTTTTTTTTTAAGGTTAAATTTCAACATGTTATTTTCTATAGAAAATCACTGATCTGTTGATAAAAATAAAACCTACTAAATTTAGAAGGCTTGTCCTTTGTATTTTACTTAAAAAAATTTTTTTTAAAGAGCAAGACATAAAATGCCAACATTTATACTCAATAAACAGAATACATAGTTCAGTTCCTATTATTGAGACGATGAGAAAGGAAAGAGAGAATCGAGTGTAGTAAAGATAAACAAGGAGATCAATGGGTAAGGAGGCGATTGAATGTTTAAATTCAAAAAGAAAACGTTTTCGTAAGAGTGAGAAGGAAAGAGAGGGATCCACACTTGGGATGTCAGAGGAAGAGAAGACGGAAGTGGGTTGAAAAACAAAGGAGGAGGGAGGCAAAGCTGGTTGGAAGTATCTTCTCTGGGGGCAGCCACTGCTGTTCACTGGTGCTGGGGATGTAATTGCTTGCCATCACACCCTCTGGAAAATGTCTGAGTTTCTTAGTGCTCTTTAATGGCTCTCCCTCACCAGCTTCTGCCCCCCAAAAGAGAATGCTTCCTTCGGCAAGGTGTGGTCTTAACCGTTCAGAGGGAGGAGGGAACAAGAAGAGTGGGAAGAAGTGTGATGTATTAGTTTCTTGGTGTAACAGTTATTAGGATTTTATTATTCCCTGGGAAACATGAAGTCAAGCTGAGGGATACAGAGCGTCCCCATATTAGCTGCACCCAAACATGACATTTTTCTTTCAAAGGAACATGTTAGCAGGAATACACATGATTTTGTACAGGGATCACCCAAGATCTTCTCGCTCATATCGGGAAGTCTTGAAACAGTTAATATGTTTAAAGAAAATAAATGTAGAGAACTAGTTTTTGTTTTCCTTCTTAGACATTGTCTCTCTCTCTCTCTCTCTCTCTATATATATATATATATATTTTTTTTTTTTTTCTTATTTTTTACTGGAGTGTTTTCCTACTTGAAATTACCTGCAGGCAATTCAGTTACGTCGTTATAGTGTGATTATACAGTTATAATGTTAGCAGCTTTTCATAATTCAGTATAAGTGCATATACATCCACATTTATATATAACCTGTCAAAATAATATATTTGTAATAAAAATAAAGAGTATATGTGATATGTTTTTGCTTTAGGTTTTTCTCTGTGGAGATCCTTATTACCGTAAGTCAGATTTAAAAAATTTTGTTGTGCTGGAGCCAGCTTGTCCTGGTCTGTGAGAAATGATTGTTAAATTTTCAGAAATTTTACAAGCCAGTTATCAAACCATTAGTAGATTAAAATTGACCATGTAGGAGCATTCACACCATAGAAATTGCAAATGCTGCAAATTGGGACTCCTCCTCCAGAGATTTGGTTGTTAAACATTTACCAGTCATCACTGTATATATGCTATATACACTATAGTTATTAAGAATTATGTATATGTACATATATACATACTATAGGTATGCTATAATTAGTACGCAGTTTCAAAAATGAAGTACAATTTTTTGGGAATATTTCAGGCAAATTCATATTTATTCCACTCTCCAACACTCTGTATTTTTACATCTGCCATAAGATGATGATCAGAAGTTAGTAGGAAGTACTCCTCTCCACTTCCCGAATAAAACAAACAAAAACAAACTTCGTCAGTGAATTATTAACCACAGTTAAAAGCATTTGATTTTGTCCCTTTCCTTTGTCAGGAGGACAACTGCTGCTACTCTTTTATGGGATGCCTACTAGTTTTGTTATACTTCTCAGTTCAGGCAGCTCGTAGCAGTTTATGTCCCAGACTTTTTTTTTTTTTTTTGCGGTACGCGGGCCTCTCACTGTTGTGGCCTCTCCCGTTGCGGAGCACAGTCTCCGGACGCGCAGGCTCAGTATCCGGACGCGCAGGCTCAGCGGCCATGGCTCCAGGGCCCAGCTGCTCTGCGGCACGTGGGATCCTCCCGGACCGGGGCACGAACCCATGTCCCCTGCATCGGCAGGCGGACTCTCAACCACTGCGCCACCAGGGAAGCCCTGTCCCAGGGTTTTTGTTGCTGAGATAGAGAAGATATTGTGCTCAGTTCAAGAAAAATGCATTTTTTTCCTCTGTGTGTTTGCCTGACGGTATTCATATGAGACATTTGAGGTCTGGGTGGCAGCACATCTGCAAATGGCTCTCCTCTCTTTCATCACACATAGCCTGGTTGTTACAGAACCCTGAATGGACACCTGTATGACACACTTTCAAATCCCTACCTGCCTTCCCTGCATACTCAGAGGGGCAAGAGGAGAGAATCAAGCCTAACCTAGCAGAGATTATACGTTGAATAAGGCAACCAAGTTTGGAGATATATAAGTGAAAAACCCACTTTTTATGGCTTTGGAGAGAACTAGTGATTTGGGGCAGTATGGACACCTCAACTGCGTTCTCTGGGACAGTCCTGGTCGTCCCGCAGCTCATTACCCTCTGTCTGGCAGTGGGGTGTCTACGTAACCTCTGTGGTGCTGGCAGATACACTTCTGCTCACACCCTGACTGTGAGCACATAAACACCCCAGCCATCCTGGAGCACTGATATGAATTC